AGCATTTCTGACTGGCTGAAGAGGTGGCTCAATGTGGACAGGATTTATGTTGTATAGATAGGAAGAATTTCTTTGCTCACTAGTTCGTGAATCTTGGTTTATTTTGCTGAGTGCTTTGTTGTGCAACCAGCTGCTTGGCAGTTAGACAAAAGACTGGAATGCAGGTAGGAAACCCATCAAAATTCATGGAAAATCTGGCAGGCATGGTTGCCAGCAGCATAGTTATCAAGTTTTGTGTGTGAATGAATGAAAAGTAATGGAAAATGAGAGGATTGGTACAGTTGAATGTCACTACTGTAGCTCTTGGCTAATCCTTGCATGTTATGCTTATCTAAACCAGTAAGACTAATGCTGCATTTCAGTTTGCAGTATTGCAAGAATGCAGATAGTAATTAGCGATCATGAAATATCTATGTCATAGCATTTTCAAGAATCCGTGATAAAATAATGGTGAGCGAAATAATGCTGTTTTGTGTATACCCTTATAAAGCATAGTTCATTAAGGATGAGAGAGATGTTACGGTTTTTATCATTGCCCAAAAAATTGTGATGGCATAGTACATGGGGAATGTATGTTATACTAGAGTGGTAGTTTTTCAAGAACATAGTAAGATGATGGTTTGTCAGATATACACTTTTAGCCAGCAGTTTGGGCTCAGACTGGGTGATCAGTTCTGCATTGAAAGGAAAATATATATTTTAGATACAGGGGCCCAGCATTCATCATTTGTGTCATACCGTAATTGAATAGATGCAGAAGCCTCTACATTGACTTGTTATTAGGAACTATCAGAAGTAATAATTTTGTTTTCTAGAGCTTTTTTCTATTTGTGATAGATGTATTTTTCAAAATTCCTGTTCTTTAATTTGGTGTATATGCATGTGTGTGTGTGTGTGACTGCATGCGTGCGTGCGTACATGCATACTTGTATTCCGTTTTATTTTAAAAAGGAGAAGTCACGGTGGAGAGCCTAGAGCGTCACCATACTGCTGACCACTGACCACTCAGTGCAGCCTTTTATCGGTCAGTTTATGGGTAACTCTGTGGTCAGTTTCCGTGATATCTATGTGGGTAATTCTGAGAAATGGCCAAACTGATCAACTGTATTTATGTCAAGAAAAAATCCTACATGAAAAATTTCTTGCAGCTCTGTTTCATGGAATTTATCAGGGTTCCAAATATAGATATAAAAAGTGCTAGTAAAGGAAATTTCATTAATTATTAATGTCCATTTAAGATTTTTCATTCTCTTTGATGTTTAATTTAGATACAAATGAACCAAAAAAATAGACAATGTTGAGCTTGGTTGTCTGTATAGAATCCCTCTTAAGGACAGGAATCCATTAACTTGACTCTTACCTATTATTGATGAAGATGTATGATTGTTTATGTTTAGGATTTCCATCCACAAAGTTAGAAAATTTGATGAATGACTTATTAATAGGATTAGAGTGATTAAATAGACTCTTTGTTTAGCTGAAAGCTTTTGTTAATTAAAAAAATCAATAAGATTGAATAAAAAAGTGAAGATTTACAAGAGGGAATATTTGAAGGGGGGAGGTATTATTTTACTTGTGCTGGATAAAGAAATTATGAAGTGATGCAGCAGATATCTGGAGAAGAATGGTTTATTTTGATGTGAAAATTTCTTGCAGTGATCACGTAGAGGAAGTACTTGAGATGTCTGGGTCAGTTTAGGGCTCTAGTCAGAAATGTCAGTTATCATACAATATTACATGGGTTATTTTGATACAACTGAAGTATGTGAGCACAAAATGGCTGTAAAATATAATTTCAATGATATTAAGTGTTGTAAGATTGATGTAACTTACATCAGTACTTGGGTATAAAAGAACTGTTGATTGAAACCTACGGGTAATCTAGCAAATCTTTGTTGGCATGCAAAAAGCTTATAGAGGAACAATATTAAATTTTTTTTTTCAACCTAGTAGATTTGGACATGGAAAAGAGGATGTGCCAAAGATTTGGATATTGAAATTCTATGCAATACCAATAGGAAGTACGGACATTATTCAGGTTTTGTCCTCAAAATTACGGTTTATTTATTTTCTTTAGAAAAAGGGGGGAGGGGAGAGAAGAAGAAACTTGTCCTTATCCACCATAGTATATTTCTGGTGGATCTTCCATCACAGAAAATTTGTTTAAATTCAAGCCCTGCCCTTTCAAAAAAAAAAAAGGTTGCTAAAATTTGAGTTTTGAAAACAGACACTTATTACAAGCCAGTGATGTATTTTTACATTCGTGAGTAACACTTCCTCGGGGTGGAGCTTATCTGGCTGAAAATGAAGACTTGTGTTCACTTGATTTATACCTCTTTGTTCTACAATTGATTTTTGAATTATTTTTTGAAAGGAGAGCAGACATATCAACACAGTTGTTTAGTAAATATGATTTATTACAATTTAGAACATCTGTTTTACTAAAAGTTAAAGCTTATGATTCATGGAGTAATGCTGTTACAAATAAGTGAGTGAATAACAATAAATCTCCCTATGCCAAAACTTATAGTACACATTCTGTTTATTTCCATGTTAAAGGATAAGACCTATAATACCATGACATGTTTATGTAACATTCTTAAGTATTTACCTGGAAGGCTACATGTCTTAGCGTCTTGCCATTGAAATACAGGTTTTCTCTAAATCTACCCATTTAAAATTCACAGGGTTTTTCAAAATCAAAATATCTTGTATGTGAAATGTATGGTCACCAAAATCGACTCGCTTGTTAGTCCTGGTTTTTTTTTTTTAAACCCATCTTGTGCGAGCTCCAAGGCTCCTAACGTTGACTGTACAGTAGCACCTATTACAAAAAATATCAATTTAGTCAAAGAAAACTAAGTGGGATTTTATATTTATTGATTTTTAAAAAGCTTTGTATTAAAAAGTTATCATTAAAAAAAGATTAAAATATAGAAAATAAAAAAGGACAAACTTATAGAGAAAGAAAAAGAGAAATATTCAGCTTATTGACTAACACAGAAGCCATGTGGCAATAAGTACATCTCTACGGTACCTAGATAATTACAGTGTACCTCATATTGCTGCAGACACTTCAACTGAATACCTGGCCATACCTGTATTAAGTAATTACTGTCCCTTCACACCAATTATTAGTGAGATGAAGTGCATTAATGACTACCCGTGTCCAGTAACTGGGCAGTCAGACTGAGGCACCATTAAGTACTCTCTGCAGGTAGAGGTTTGGACACTTCGAAAGCTTCAAAGGAATCCTATCATAGTTTCTGTGTCTGTGTAGAGAGGTAGGTAGAATACTAATATAAGAGGTATATCAAGGAGCACAATTTGAAAACTGTGACTGCAAAATATACACTTATGAACAGATTGTATTGAGAGATGGTGGTGTAATGTGGAGAATGTCTTTAGGATGCTTAATTTTCTGGAGCGTTATTAGCACCTCAGCTCTTCAGTAACCTAAGGTTTGCTATTAAATGATTTTAAAAAAGATAATTTTTGCAATCAGCAGGAATGAACTATATTTTCTTTAATTTCAAGATACATTGTACCATTCACTCTGTGAATATTTAGAATGAAAGTATTTTGACATAACATATATATCAAAGATGAAACATCATAAAGAAGAGCATGGTATAACATCATCTCGTGACAGGAGATGTGAATAGGATGTTTTGTATCTTTTTCTGTTCCCTATAGGTTAAGTCCACCCTTTGGTCAAAAGTTCTGTCATAGAGCAGACTACAAAACCTATAACACATTAAATATGTAAGTAATTGCCTCATCACTTCATGGCCCCAAACCACCCAAATGTTTACATCATCACTGGTCCATGGGTTATGTAAAAAAATTGGTCCCATTTGTTTGTAAGTACTGACTTTTGTCTTGATGTGACTTAAGCTTTAATTGATTTATTCTTTAGTTATCCATGTTACTCCCTATATCATGAAAATGGTTTTTTTTTATCATAAAACATGAGTAAAAGAAGTAAGGTAAAACATAACTCGATAGATAACATTATGAAAAAAACATTATTTTTGTTGACATATCTTGCTTTTAGTTAATGTTCTTATCAGAAAATTTTTCTTGTACTCAACCAGGCCTAAGAATTGCTTTTCCAAAGAATACATCATTGACTTTTTTTTTGAATTAAAAAAATGGCTGTAATTTTGGACGTGGCATTTGCAGTATTGTCATGCCTTGTGAATAGCTGCATGCCACAAATTTCTTTTTAACTGCTGAGAATAGATTGAGTTTTTATTCCCCTCACAATCCCCTACTGTTCAGGTTATAAAGTGAGGAATGCCAGGGCCCCAGGTACATGCTTTGATTATCTTAGATAAAATGTGCATGTCAAGCTTTTATAACAGTGATTCAGACAATGATTATTACATAGTAAAACTTGCACTCATTTCATTGTTGTTTTATTTTCCTTAATTAATTGGAGTTTTTTTGTTTTTTTTTGATTTATAATAATTGTTAATTTACTGGCATACTAGTCAGGTTAAAGGAGATAAAAGAAAGTTGATGAATACATATTTTACTTTCCTTTGTTAACATGATGTGTACACTCACATGTAACAAAATGACACAACATTTTTCCTCATACTGATAATGCCAGATGGCTACTGAATGAAACAATATTATTTATAGTTTATAGAATTTGAAATCAGAATGGAGAACACAAGAATCATTTAGAGTAAGCTCTTCATTGTCAATGTCTTGAATGAAGTCATTACAAATTTTACAATAAATTAAGATGTTGTAAAATCCAAGAAGGGGTATAAAGTTATTAAAGAGTACCGACATCTATATATTTAGTATTTTATGGTCAAAGACACCATAGTTTCTGAACCACAGGTATGCTTCAGGTGAAGACTGTTTATTGTTAGGATATTTATGGCCCTGTCAACTGTCAGTTGATGGAAATGAAAATATGTTGTTAAATAATTAACACTCTTTTAAGGACTAGTTTCTGCATCAGTCAGTCTTCTGGGGTTTTCTTTTTCCATGCAAGCATTTGAGAGCTGTATTGAAAGTGAATATCTTTTTTTCTACCAGACAGTTTATTATAGACTGCCTTTCTTAATGTCAAGTCATGGTTCACTCACACTAAAGGTGGAGTGAGAGAAGAAAATATATTGTCAACTATTTGATGGGCTTCTAGGCTGGATTATATAGACTGTCAATCATGTATGGCTCAGTTGCATGGACTTAGATACAGAGGGTATCGCAAAAAAATATCACAAACTTAATTGACAGCCTGCCAGGTTTTATTAACTGCTCTCAGTCCTCAGCGAGTCAAGGATCAAGGGCAAGGGGGCATGAAAAGTGAAAATACATAGTAAACTTTAAACCACAGCGAGGCTGTAGAAAGGACCGTGCAAAGGTAAAGTAGGACCACTGAATCATTCTCTCAGTTTGCCCAGAGAACTGCGTGAAAAGCGAACATGGACTGAACTCTGTGGAGTATTTGAACCAGATAACATTACTGGAGGGCAGAGCTTAAGTAGGTGACTTCTTGAGAATCTGACAGTTCGGGATTAATGTTATTTGTACTGGAGACTGAAGCAAGTGAAAAAGCAAATTTGTGTGTTTTATTTCTCAAGGAAAGCCATGTTATAAATGGTGGTTGACAGATCCCTATGGTCGTGGATTGTTGACAAGACTTAAGGTTGAGATTGTTGATCGAGAGATGCCTATCACACCGTGCCCTAAGAATAGGAAAAAGTATGAGGAGGACACAGACTTGTATACAACGTGCAAATAGCCAATTGACTGTCCAAAAGATTGAGATTTTTGTCTACTAAATTTGATAATAACAGGTAACCATTCATTGCTCTGTAAGGAATTATTGTGGTTGACATTAAGATATGGTCCCCAGCCTCATAACAGCCATAGATTATCTGAGCTTCACTGAGGGAGAAGTTTCAAGGTCTTTTCATCACATTGACAGGAAATACCTGCGGATGGCAGGTGTCACTAACCCAGGTACAGTTAAAAGTTGGGACAGGACTTCATTCCTTCTCTTAACTGTAGACGGAAGTTCATTCAGAAACTAGACTTTTGTGTCATTTTAAAAAAACGGGTAAGATAAAGTAAGATCTACAGGTCAACTGAACAGTCAGTAAAGTCACCTGTAAATGAAAACCGAAATTGTGTGTCATCATTCTATAGATAGCCTGCCACCTGTGCTAGATACAGTCAAATCAGCTGGAATATAGGACCTTTGGAAATCAACTACGGAACACATTGGGTATTCTTTCTCCTGATGACAACTTACTGATGTTTTATGTGGAATAAGATCCAGATTTCATCCCACCTGATATAAACTGAAATTTTTGGATCGCATCGGCCACCTGACGGGATACCCCAGGAGTGGAATAGATACTGCCTTGACAAGAACAACTGATCCCAATTATTGGAAATTCCTAGTCGTCTTTCTGAATTGATATTTTACTAATGAGTCATAAAAGGCTCAGGGTCAAGTCAAGACTGGATAGTCACATAAGTCAATGCTAAAGAACATATTGGAATTTTCAGCTTGATTTTTTTGTGTTGTCTCTCTTTGCATGAGGCAGAAGTCTGTCGGTCACCTCTCAAAAACTGGGATGAATGCCCAGCTTGGGGTCATCTGAGCTCACTGGACAAGACGGACACTAGGATCCAGCCACAGCAACAGTTTGGATATCCACATTGTTTCATAGGTCACTGCAATTGACAGACAGGACTCCGATTAAATTCACTGGAAAATAACTCGTTAGTTCTTTCTGGAAGAAGGTGGAAAAGTTAATAGACAGAGAGATTGTTGGCTTAGATCCTAAGGTCAGCTCCACAGGTTTAAAGGGTCATGTATGTTACTGAAGGTGACATATTATATTAAGCATAGAAGCCGGAGTCATAAGGGTATTCCTTTAAGAGACGTCTTAACACCTGTAACCGGTACAGTGACATGATTGAGGAGACACTGGGGCACATTAAGTTTACAGAAGACTCAAAGACCTCCACAGAATCTTGATGGTAATTATGGATCAGAAGTGAAACATTTTGATGATTGTCATTGCTTGTCATGGATGATGGCTTACAATTGAGGAAAAATGACTAGGATCAGGATTAAGACAGCTTAGGAAATACTGGAACGTCTTACCCTAAGTACAGCCTTACTTACACCGGAGAATACAGTACAAAGACTCGGGATAAATTCCATAGAACAGAATGATATTCACAAACAGATACGCTTCATTTTTTGAGAGGTCAAATCTGCTGAGACCAGGTGAGCCATAAAAGTGGACAAAAGTACAATGTACATTAGATGGTATGGTATGTGTATTTCTGTTGATAAGTATGCTGGTGGATATGCTAGAGAGAGAGAGAGAGAGAGAGAGAGAGAGAGAGAGAGAGAGAGACTAAGATGGACTGTAGGGAGAAAGAGAAATTTAGAACTATAGGGTGAAATAGACTGTTTGAATCTCAGTTAGTACGTATTGAAATTACTCATCAGGACAAGCAAACATTTACATTATCAACCAGCTGTTAAGAATTTAAGATAACCTTGCTTGTATGTTGTCTCTTAGGCTGAAAACATAGGTAAAAGATATATATTTTTTCAGTATGCAGTTCCCATATTCCCATAATTAGATCATTATGTGATGAATTTAAGAAGGATGTCTTTTACATTACCGTTCTGACACAATGCCGAAAAGTTTTGCTTATTGTGCAGTGAAGAGTGTAAAGTGTGAGATTATCTTTACTATGACATCAAAAAGCTGAACAAAGCTCAGAATGAAATTAATTTTAGGGTTTTTCAAGTCATACAACTCAACAAATTAAAGGACCACGTAAATTTCTGATTCTAAAGCACATTCCCAGTTAAAATGACTCATCCTACTTTATTCAGTTAAAGATATATATCATTTGAAATCTGTTTTGAATTTTTTTGTGTGTGAATTGTTAGGAGAATCATTATCATATCTAGTTTCCTGGTCTATTTTAGATGGATGATATAATTTTTCCTAATACAGCAGAAAAAAGATCGTAGCCATCTATGGGAGACCCTGCTTAACCTGTTGATTATTTTGGTAGATATCAGAAAGTGAGCAATAGATTCTTTACTTCAGATTATCAAAGTATTTAGTAAAAGTAGTTGTCAGTGTAAATGGTTTCATTGTCTGTTGTCTTGGGATAGTGACAAATTTCAAGTAATTTTTATAACCTGTAAAAAAAATGCAAACTTAAGATAAATTATAATATGTAAAAATTTGTGAAGCAGGGATTTTTTTAAGAGTCAAAAAAAGGTCACAGCTAGATAAAGCCTCGAAGTGTCTATTAATTTACATGAGAATAAGTTGTGCAGAGACCTTGTTTTATATAGATTACAACGTGGTTGTCTTAGACTATCTCTCTCCTGAGGTTACAGTAGTGTATGTCAACATGGAGCCTTCTGGCATGATCTTAGTGCATTCATAATTGAGTGCTGAATATTTATTCCTACATAATGCTTATATTAGATAATTAAGCCATGTAGTAAACATAATGTGCTTGTGTGTATTCATATATACCCATGTGCGGGCACACACAAATGCATGCACACACACACACCAATAACTGCAGCACATATTTTCAGTTTAACTTGCATTTTCTGAACGCAGCATTATCAGATCATTTATATATAATACACATTATTTCAAAATCTATATTTTATGCATAATAATAATTAATTATTATGTTTTAAAGAAAGATTATTTAGAAACAGACACAGATGTAGAGATTAACTGGTCCATGACAGTTGAACTGAAAGTGTCTCTTTGGACTTAACAGCATTTCAGTTATATTTTATGCTTTCTTAATCCCTGTATAGATATTTGATTCAGAGCAAAGTTGATGTCAGAAGGAATGAAAATTGCTATCAATAATCTACTTATCTTGCCTGCAAATGCCAGCGTTACCTAAATTAATATTTCTACAAAGGAACTTTTTAACTTTTTTTATACCATTGTGCCATACTGATTCATTTTACTCACAATTGTTAGGAATTCAACTTTAATGGATAAAATGTGTGGAAAATTTTAAGAAATTGAAAGTAACCTTATCCGTAATACATCACAGACACAACCCTTGCTCCTGTTCAAGAACAACTCTGAAATTTTGAAGAGTTCAGCTGTAAAGAATTTAACCAGACATTTTTTTTCTTGAAAAATACAATCTCTGTAGGTGTGGAGAGCATTGCTACTTGTAGGGCACAGCAAAGAACTTTGATAAGTGAGTATCTTCTGTGTTATGAATTTTAATTGTTTTCAGCCTGATGGCAAAATGTTTGTCAGTTTTGAATAGTCTTTTGTGAAGACAACACGGAGAAGAAAATGGTTGTGATGATCAGAGGAGTTGAGGCGTCTTTAGGTGCTCTGAGTTCTTGCCAAATAACATTTGAAATGTTTATTATGAGCTCTAGATAATATTAATTTTTAATGCTGTTTTATAATAATGGAAATTTCATCATGGATTAAAGGAAATCCTTTACACAAAACCAATTTGAAAATACAATGGAATCTAGGTAAGCTGTATATAAATTCATCACTTGTTTCAAGGATGCAGTATTCAGTAGACCGTATAGGACCCAGGCATTTCCCTGCAACAATTATGTCCTTATGTACCTGTTATGTTGAATGATTGTTGTGTGACTGGGTATGATGATGTGCAGAATTAAAAAAGTGCATTATTTTTCCCATGGGAAAACTGTTAACCATGATGGCATGCCTGAAGATGAGATAGTGTTTTAGAAATAGTGCTTTTTATTAAAAATCAATAGGTATCCTTGTGGTGTGATAGATGAAATTTTTGATTGTTATTGAAAAATTTTGTGAGGTAGACATTATGTGGGTGCATGCATGGTCAGATATATTATTTTTCAAGAGTTAAGTAATTTCGATAACATTCAGATCTTGCTGGATAATGTAAGCTGGAGAACAAATGACAAAGGTTATATGATTCCATATACACTGGAAATCCTTCACCTCACAAACATTTTCTTATAGATATTCTTTTTATTTAATTTTCTGAAAAGCTAATATGAGAGCAAAACATTTCACTTACAACAAAGTTGTAGGTTCAAAATTGTCGCTAAAGTTATCTAAAGACACCAGCAATAACACCCAGCTAATTTAATTACTGGAGAAAAAACATAATGAACATACTGGCTGGCAACCTTGCAAAAGAAGTTCATGATATATGTATACTGTATTGTCATGGTTTCTCTTCCTTCCTTGTTCTCTGTCGTAAGTGACATTTGATTGAAAAAATACTTAACGCAGAAAATACGAATCAAACATTTATTTTTCTTTTTTTTCATAATTCTCAGTAGGTAGTTGCATATTTGATGGGGAAAATTCAGAAGAATGAAAGGAATTCAAAGTTTTCTCTTTCCTTTTATCACCTGATTTGGGACATAAAGAAGCCACCATAATACAGACGTGAGTCACCATATAGGATGTTGTTTACCTTCTACGTCAGGCCAGTTTGATATGATCTTAACATTATTGATATGCAGATCACTTTATTTTTGGGTAAAATTGGTCATGGTATAAAACACGCTATTTGCTACGGTTTGTTCAGAAATAGGCACATTTACACTTAATTTGTTAGATCAGAATTGATTTTCTTTGGGTAAAATATAATCTTGTTTCTTAGACAGTTTGCCTAACAAGTATATACAAGCAAGTTTATTTTCGATCCAGTAGGTGATGGTGTGTGTGGGGGGGGGATGAACAGTCCTTTTGGCTAGCAAAAGGTATTCTCTGAATCGGAATTGATTCAAAATAAAAATACAACGTTTAACAGAAAAAAAAGGACCACTTTTTCAGAGCGCACCCCCCCCCCCCACCCACCCACACACACACACACACACACACACACACACACACACACACACTAAAAAATGGCTAGCTTGTAGATCTGGGAATATTAGGCATTGTATACAGATTTGTCATTGAATAGATACTGATACTGGAACAACAGTTTCTATAGGTTGTTTATCACTGTTCATTCCCGATCAATAGATGTGATTGCAGGCTTTGATCATTTTGAGGGTAACAATAAAAAAAATTCATGTGCAGTATAATCATCATAAGAACAGTCAGTAAGTTTAAAGTTGTTTAATAATAAAGAGATTACTTGTAACAAGTGAAAATTATCAAGAAAGTAGCAGGAAATATGGTGAGGTAATAGCGACACCACAGGATTCAATTAGACGTGTACCGAAGAGGATATGATGATGATAATAGCCATAATAAGGACAATAACAATATACACACACACGTTTGTGCACACACACAGGCACATCCTTGCAAATATATACACACAAAACATACATATCAAACATTTGTGGTATTACGTTACAGTAATCCTTCAGGATATGCAATCAGAATTTAAGTGGGAGATACAAAGAAGGCGTAATTGTTTTCTGCAGTATTACATTGTATGACACTGTATTCGTACAATGCTCAGGTGCTCTTGGGCAAGAGCAAAATGGGCGTTTCAGCCTGGAGTTCAAAATGGTAGGGGAAAAAAATTAAAAAGCAATAAATATGAGCAGTCACCTATTTTGCTTGAACCCTGAAGATTTGTAAGAAAAATACCAGTTGCAAGAATCTGGAATAAAGTAATATACAAAAAGCATAAGCCAGGAATTGCTTTCTTTAGGCATAAGGCTGCATAAGAATAGCTCTAGAAAATTATCCTGATGTGATTTGATGCCTTAGAAGTGAATTAGATTTCCTTGCTGTAAGATGGTTCAAAGAGATCTAGAATGGAGATCAATAGTGAATATTCTCAGTGGCAATGAAAATCTGTTGAATTTGATTGATGCTTCCATTCATCATTACTAATCGGATCCTGGGAGGAAAGAATTAAGTTAACGTCCCTCCCAGTACAAGTGTAGATTACCCCCTTCAACAGGCTGCTTACAAAGTTAATGTCCCACTCAATACAAATATAGATTACCCCCTTCAACAGGTTGCTTACAAATTTTATGTCCCACTCAATAAAAATATAGATTGCCCCCTTCAACAGGCTGCTGTGAGGGGAGAGGCACTGTCACACTGAGAAATGAAAGAAAAAAATCATATATACATATATCTATGTATATATGTATATATATACATATATCTATGTATGTAAACATTGTTAATGTTCAAATTTGGTAATAATTATGTACACCTGTAATACACATGTTAACACACACACACCTCACACGCACGCACACACACACACACACACACACATTCACAAAATAATCATCACTATAATATCTGGCCTCTCACAAATACAAATGTAATTACCCTCAAATACCATCAACATATAGAACTAATACTGCTCATCACAACATTCTCCATACTAATGCATTGCCTGATGATTTAATGGCCAAAAGGGGACATTACTCAACATGATATAAATGTAGTGTGGATTATTTCTGGTCATTTGTGGCTGGACTATTAGATATCTGTGTTTAATACAAAGGGCTGCAGCATTCAGCCATCTTCTGTTGTGTGCAGTGGTGAAATGAAGGTGAATATTGATATGGAACATTGTACAGTGTTAGTGAGCAGTGTTTGATATGTATGTTTTGTGTGTATATATTTGCAAGGATGTGCCTGTGTGTGTGCACAAACGTGTGTGTGTGTGTGTGTGTTTGTGTGTGTGTGTGTGTGTGTGTGTGTGTGTGTGTGTGTGTGCATGCATGCCTGTATATGTAATAATAATTTGCTAGTGCACATGCATACATATGGTTGTATGCATGTGTTAGCATATTAAAACACTCACATATAAGATCATCTAGGTAATCTCGTACTTATGTTTATATTCTTTATCTTTCTAGATGCCAGATCCCTGAGTAGCATCCGCATCATGGAGCCGCAGTCGCAGGCTGCCGGAGACCTGTGTGCGGCATGTCACATGCCTTTCGACACTGGGAAGAAACGAAGGCTCATAGACACGTGCGGACACGAGAGATGTTACATGTGCATGTTCAGCAGTGATGAGTGTCCACTGTGTGAGGGAGAAAGTAAGTCTCAGGGCCTTTGCCACTTTATGTGTTAAGTTTTCAGGCTTCTAAGTTTAGACTGCTAATAACAGATAGCTGGCTACATAAAGTTGACTTTATAATATTTAAAGGGATAATAACTCTTCGTATGAGACCTATATTTCACAATAAAAACCTTGTGAATAACTCATAGAAATATAATATATTCTGTTTTACCACAAAAACAGCAGTTATAGCTTTTATTCTGATATTTGAACTTGTCTTTAGACCACGTGACCTCCATTGATGTCTATACTCTGTTAAAATCTCTTAAGAGATTTTAACAAAAAACCAGACATTTTAGAAAAAAACCAGGGACTTACTTTGAATGTAAAAATGGATTCATTAACCATTGGTTAGTATGGGAAAATTGTTGTTTACTCCAGGAAAATTCATTTTTTGGCCGAAACGAAGAGTTATTATTGCTTTAAGATGATTATCTGCACATTTCCTTTTTCTTTCTTCCTTCCTTTCTTTCTTTCTTTCTCTCTTTTTTTCTTTCTTTCTTTATTTGGAGAAATTTTGTTGAAATTCATTTAAGATTTTGCTCAGTCTATAGCTATTCTGCCTTGCCACTGTGTGGTCACAGTGTGTGGATAATGGATGAGAAAATGGCCTGAGGAGAAGAGAATGTAATGTGCACTTGTGGAAGAGGAATAAAAGCTATGGAGAATGTGTTTAGTCAACTAGACCTTCTATTCTTAATGTGCACTGGGGTTTTAGTCAGAAGTACTTCTTTCTTGTTTTTAAAAATAAGGCATATTACATAAATTTGTTTTTGTTTGTTTGTATGTGCGGGTATGTTTATGAATGTGTATGTGTGTGTGTGCATGTGTGTGTGCATATCATGGGTATGAGAGAGAGAGAGAGAGAGAGAGCAACTTGACATTGTCATTGAGTTTCACATTGATGGAGCGCAAGAGCGTCACTGTAAAATGTGTGTTTGTTGATAAGAGACTGCTGTAGTCGATATGCCACAATGATGGATCAGAATCATCATTGTTATTGATCCGCAAACTTATAGAGGTTGTTTATGTTATAACCCTGTCAGCATATATAAGGCATTAAATGAGAATGAAATGAGGAAAGTAATTTGATTTGTGACTATTGGCATTTAAATGTCACAGTATTGTTTTCATTTGCCATTAAAATTTGACTGAAATGCCAAACCATGAGCAATTTTCAGTCTCTTTAAACTTTCCTAAAATTCCATATTTTCCTTGTAAGTTTATTTCATGACTTTCGTAGGAATGCTAATTTTTCTTTACGTTTATGTGTTATATCTTAAAAAATATAAATTCAGAGGGAGGGGTTTACTGCAGGCACACATGCTCCCTCTCAGTTCTGAAAATTCCCCGTCCTTCTCCCCCTGCTAGGAAGAAAATATGAACACAAGTAATTTTCCATCCCATTCCAGGTATAGTATTGTCATCAAACAGTATTCATTATATATAAGGATGGGGAAACAGAACAAGGCAGAAAAACATCTTGTGCCCTTTCCCCTTACTCATTGATTTCTTGACTTCACCAGTGTTTAAGTATATTGTATTCTCCTCCAGTGTACTCCTCCATGCCACACAATCTGAATGCCAACCACATCAGACAGACCAGCGACACAGCCCTCCTGTCGTCTCACCGGCCAAAGCTGAAGACCAATGGTCACTATGCTGCCCACATGCATCTCAAACTGGACAACAACCACTTCCCACTTACAGAGATGGCCACGCAGACCACACCAAAACCTTTCTACATGCTCAGTGATGGTGAGTAGAGTGAGTAAGGTGGTGTTTGAGTTGAATTTAAGAGGCAGGTTAACACAAGTGCATTTATATATGCTCATATACATGCACGTGTGGCACGCATGAACACTCGCACACACACATGACCTACTTAAAATAATTTGTGAACAGGACCATAAATTTTGTAGTGATCTGCCTTTGAAGAAGATCACTCAAATTATCACATTCCATGGTATAAATAGTTAGACCTCTTTTTGCTTAAAAAAATACATTGTATCCTGGGAGTGGTTGCAATGAATGTATTCATAGACTGATCATATAATTACATAAATAATCTTTTGTGAATTGCTTTACCTTTCGAACAAAAAATAATGAGTCTGTCACTGTCATGGCAAGGTCAAATGCTTTGTTCATATTTCGTTGATCAAAATAATGAAATTCTACCTCATTTCGTCATCAATTAATAACCTTTAATGTTTCCCACTTCTAAGTAAATAATCATGTTGCTGGGACATTAATGTTGACTGATATAAAGACATTAATGGTCATCAAGCTTTTAGATCAATTTGGAATAGCTTCTTAATTTGACATATCATGCTGGGCAGGCCTAATGACCGCTGGTCACCTGCTGTCCAGATCAAGGTGGTACTGACCGTTAATTAGCAGGGCAGATAGGCATGATACTTGCATTATCCTACTTTAGGATCGATTCTTTATTCTTTGATGTGAAAATGGTGTTATGGACAAATTAACGCGGCACAGATGAAAACGTATTTTTTACTCTTAGCCTTTTCTGTGGAATTGGTGATTGGATTAAGTAAATAATTGATTCCAGCTGATAGTCATGTATGAATTCAATACAATATGGATACAGAAAGTATTAATGAGGAAAAAGAAAAAAACAAGACAGAAGAGTTGATTGCTTGATAACATGCTTTGGACTCCTTTTGTTAAAGCATGCTGTGATGGCTGTATCTTCATCTGCTATGCGAATGCATCAACTAAATCACCCGCGGCTCAATGGCTGACCATCCAATATCTGGAGTGGTCATTATTATGGTGACCTGTGACTTTTCACAGTGGTGGACATTATATTTGGTATGGGCACCCAGTGGTCATTTGATGTCTGGACTTCTAGTGACCCATGTTTGACCACCTATAATAAATGTAATAAATAGCATGATTCTATACCACAGCAAATTATGATGTTCATTACTTTATTATTAGTAGGTTGAAATGGCTAGAGCCACAGTCATTGTAATCTACCCAAGTCACAGTTCTTTTTTGAGGATATGAGGGTGAAATCATGTTATTAATGATTTTAGGAAGTCTTGTTTCTCGGGGCAACTAAAATACATTTCTTAGTGAGGCAAAGGGTAGCCTTCTTGATTTGTTACTAGAGAGAAAAAAACCTCTTTGGGGGCAGGCTGATCCTATTTTAGAAGAATAGTAAGAGTTAGGACTAATAGGATCCGGATATATTCAGATTGTAGTATTCAATCTTTTGTATGGTTGGAAGTGATTGATTTCATTTAATGGAATTATTGCCAGTAATCACAGTTCTGTCCATTGCGCTAATCTGTGTAACATGGCAGCGGATCAAAAATTGTCATGGAATTATGATATGTATTGCTTGACATAACTATGGGATCATTTCTGCTATTGTTATAATAATTATTATTTTGCTTGATTATTGCCTATATCTCATGTCCGTGGTATGAATAAGGGAACGCAAAAAGATGCACTCTTGACAAGTTAAATAATTTAAACGATGCTGCCTAAAGAAAGAGATAACAATGAAAGGTATATTTAAGATTTTTGATAAATTGTCTTGTGTCTAGCATTGAAAGGTGTGAGATTTTCTAACTGTGAAGACTTGTGTTTGTTTTCAAAATATAATCATAGCTTTCAGTCCTCCATTTTATATTGCTTAGGGCATAAGATACTCTAGGGCAGTAAGTACTGCACGGATCGTCAGAATTCAATGGGGTAAAAATGCTAGCTATTAGCATAAACTCCAGCTATAGCCATTATCCTTTATATTGAAGACAAGTTACAGCAGTTTTATGTTATTGGGAGCAACACAGGGGTAAACTTTTTAGATAAAGGAGATAACATCATTGTATGTTATACTCAGACAGGTGGGGAAGACTGGGTTATTTCCTCAGACCCAGTGAGCCCGATTTCAAATGATATTTTTTTGTGAATGATAAGATTTACAGCAGAGAGAATTTAACGTCAATGCAATTAACCATACACAGATTGTTTGTAAGGTCTTTTGATAATAAAACCTAAATATGTTGAAAATTAAGCTTAAAAATGAGTACACCATTGGCTGTCATTGCGTCATAAAAAATGATTTGCTGCTGAGAATGTTTTCACTCCTGACATGTCCACTCACTTTGCACACTGTTTGCTTATAATCCCATTTTTCAAAGCATAATACAATCGATGCATGTTTTTGTATAAATAAAATTCTATAAATATTTATTAATATTGTACTTTTAGCACCTCTGGCCAATGGCACTCCACCGGTCCCACGGCGGAAACCAAAATTCTTCAGTACGCCATTGTCTGTTGCACCTCCTCCTGTTCCACCTCCACCATTAAACTACTCCAGCAATGAGAATCTCAACAGCACCGCAGAAACTAGCAGGAGTGCACTGTCTGTGACAGTCACATCTCTAGATACGTCAGATGAATCTCATGAGCAGCTGGATAACCGGATAATACAAGTGGATAACCAGCGGATAAGGGAAGTTCGACCCAAGGAAAAGAAAGTAGACAAGAAAGTGGAAAAAAAGGAGAATAATGCAGTGAAAAATTTAGCAGTCAAAGAAGGACACACAAGTATGTTATGTTAAAGTTTACCAAGAAGCTTACTTATGGCACGGGTTTTCCTTCACTAGTTTTCTTTGAATTCACTACTACTTTTACTCTCTCACTTTCTTTTTCTTTTTATTTTTTATGCTCTTTCAGTCATTCCTTCTAAAAAGCCAGTGCATCTCACACTTTGTTCCAGATGAGACGGAGAGCCCCCCTCCCCCTCCGCCGGCCGTAGCCCAAAATGACCTGATGATGAGGTTAGGCTTGTTGCTAGGCAACAGAGAGGTGGAAACACAGCAGTCGGCCATTCAGACAGAGGACACTTTCACCAGTGTCTCCTCATTGGCCAGCAGTGGAGCAGCGACTCCGGACCTCGAGAAGTTCTCCGACACCAGTCCCATGTCTACATTGACAGGTAGGAAGATGGCTGGAATTGTGTAGTTGAAATAGGCATCACAAAGGAAGGAGATCATGTTTTACTGGACTCTCACTAAGGTTTTTGGTTGTTGCTTATTTTTGTAATATTAAAATGATACAATCCGAACTGAGCTTGGTTAGAAAGGGAAAAAAGTTGGAAAAATGTTGATTTAAAATAAGAGACTGGAGAAACTTTGTTGGCCTATATTTTATTAGTGCAAAAAAAAAAAAAAAATTAATAACAAGATCCCCTTCTAGTGCATATGCAGATTTTCGATTTAAAATTTTTCCCAATATATTTTTGCTTTTTTGTTGTTGTGATTGTGATGATTTATATTGTACTGTTCTCAATGTGATGATTGTGTTTCTGCTGGAACTCTCTCCAGTCCACCTGTAGTGTGTTAGTTATGATGAAATCTCACCAAGCACAATCTTGACTTTTTGTCATGTCCTTAGTGTGTGTGTGTGTGTGTGTGTGTTTTTTTTTTTTTTTTTTTTTTTTTTTTTTTTTTTCACAAGCATAGTTTTGTGTCCTGTTCCTCTAATATCATGAACATTATCTACCTTATCTGTGACATTAATTTTAAGAATGTAGTGAGCATTATGTTCTCACATGATATGTATAGTCTAAGATATGAAATGATCGAACCCCTTTGTTTACACCTATACATTGGTTATATGGTTAGTGACTGTGTGATTGATGATGAAATGATTGGTAAATGGTAAGATGTGGGTTTACTTACTCATGTATGATCTCACTGAAATTTTTTATTAGGTAATGTTCGGGATATGTTAATACAAATAGCTTTAAGATTTTTATTTTTATACAAGATTCTGTTTCGAAATAGATGAATAAATGATTAAAAGGAGATGTCTTGTAATTAGATTAAAAGGGGAAAAAAAGCAGAAAATTCACCAGTTACAATTATTAATCCTCACACCCAGTTATAGGTGCACTAAATATATATACCATGTATTCTAGACTTAGGTGTGGTGCTCAAGTCTTTGGCACAGAATAGATCAAAGATAGTGCTAACCTTAAGGTTGAGAAGCCCTGAGCTAACAGACACTTTGGTATGCCTAGAATGTATTATGTTTTATCCACCCTTTCTGTCTGTCTGCCTCCTTTTATTCTCATTTGTCATTTCCGCGTCTGAGATCCGCAAAAAAAAGATTTTTATATTACATATATGTTTTTATCCAAGAACAGGACATGCTATTGTCAAATTTTAATTGGTTTTCAGAATAAATTTATGTTTCTGAGAAATAGGTTGATTTGAAAACTGCATATTTGATTTGTCATACTTGGAATTGTTTTTTAGCAGTAATGGCTTACTTTAGAAAAAGTGTCAATTCATCCTGCATTTTTGCATTGTTGTAATGCCGAAGTCTGCTGTCTCATATTTAGAAAATTTAATGATAAAAATAGAAAAGCAAAAGCATGAAAATATAAAACTTTGACATAAACTGACAGGAACTTTCAACATGGACCACTGCACCGTTGCGTGAAGATGACTTCCCTTTGTAAATCACAATAACTGCTATAAACCCATGGCTAATACAGGTGTCAATACTTTTGTTATTGTTCTTTGGGGGACAAGTGAAAGTTGGCTAACAAGAAGATAGTATTACAACCTAAACATGTCTACACAAGGGTTGAGGGAATGGTTGAGAAGTCATTGTTGTACCTGGTAGTCTATTTGAGAGGTGTACGTTTCAACTTTTGCAAGTAACTGATGCTCAAGCCTCGGGCATTAGAACTTGAGAGCCCCATTTCTTTCACCAGAGTGAATAGTTTATGTTGCAATTTAGAAGTATATAAGTACTTATCAAAATTTCATCTTTTTGATGTCTGCTTTCATTGTTGGTAGTGAAAGTCCTTCTAATAAAGGGTGGCTTTTGGAAAGTTGCAGCATCTTAGTGGTGATAAAAAATGTTACACTTGGTAGGTGGGGGAAGAATAGGAATTAATTATAAAGTAGGAAGTTAGTTTCCATAGCTGTTTTTTATGTGATAAGAAGCAGGTGCTGTGAACTTGAATTTTATGTCTAAAAATTACTTCTATCACAAAAACCTTTGTTAAATTGTGTCGTCAGTTTGCAAATTACAGGGGTTAGGAAAGTAACAGAGATAATTGACAAATTTACAAAGTATTTTAATAGTTTTAAGTGGGTAATAATTCACCATGCTCTCATAATTTGGCCCATATTTGGGCATACTGGACATCACTAGTGACATATGGACTGGTCACCAGCTGGTAAAGAATTTAGAAAATCACTTGACCAGTGGGCATGTGTGGGGATAAGTGGACATTGTCATTTGACCTTGCTCAGCAGAGACCATTTGTTGCTATGGTTACTGGTTATTTGATGCTTAATAAGCTTTTGAGTGGTTTGAAATTAAAGTCCACTGTGAATTATTTTCAAAGATTTATAAAAGATTTGGTGCTGTGAAGTCCAGTGATATTCTGTGTCTATTGTCATACAATTTGATAAATATTTGTAGTTCCTTCTTTTATTGCAATGGAGTTTAACACTTAGTTCTAGCTGTTTCATTTTGCTTTAAATATTCACTCAATTTTTCTTTTGCCAGATACCTAAAATAAGTCATAAAATCAAACTTGTTGCTTATAATTTTACAGTCAACTTTTGGGAGTTTTTCTTCAGTTAATGTCATGTGATCTGCTACAGAATTGTTGCCATTGTGACGAAGAATCGAAGAATCGGTTGGCATGAGAGAGAAGTGTGTTGTACAAGGCATCTTGGGTCATGTTCCGCCTTTGATCAGAGCGAAGCATTTAGGGTGCATAATAGTAAACATGCTTTTGAAGATGTGATGGCATTTGCCATTGTACTTTTATCATTGAAATGTGTCTGATAAAAGACGTATTTGTTTTTTTAAAAAAATGAAGGGAATTTATGACACGCTTGTATGGAAGTATGATCTTTAAAAGTTATTTGCCACAAATTTAGACCAGTAAGTTTTGAAGGAGTGCATTGTTGTGGGAACTTTTCCATGGGGGTTATTTGTTGGTATAGTTTACTTGGTTTATCTGCCAATATTATTTTCAGCTCTTCTTTGGTACAGATGCAACAGGTGTTTGACAATTAAGTTTCATTTATAACTGACATATTAGGAAACGTGAGGTGATGTAATAAAAAAATATATGGTAAGGAAATTATTTTGGCTTGCACAATAATTTAGATGAATCTGAACTCTGGTACCTATCTGTGCTGCATTAGAACTGGTAGCTCATCCAAGTATTTGATACACTTATACCTGTGATTATCAGGTGTGTGAAAAGGAAAGTGTTTGATGTTGATAGTGAAAGGAGGAGTTATTATGTATAAGTGTATTGTATTTCTTATATATTATATGCCTGGGTTGCAGTAATACCTACAGAGAAGTGAACCATGCAGTCACTGTTTATTGACATATGGAGCTTGTGTGTGATAAATAGAGTTGTTTCACAAGCCGCAGTGTTTGTTTACAATTTATTTGTAGTCGCTTTACTTTGTTTTATTATTTGAGCACAGAAATATCACTGCCAGATGGCTATATTACAGGGGTCCCGTTGTGGATATATTCAAGCAACTTAAACAATTGGATTAAATGTTTTATAACTGATACTGCAGTTTTGACATTTTTATGTCTAGATTGCTGTGTTTATTTCATCTGATTTACTGGTAAAAGAAAAGATAACTAGAAACTTTTGATTGAAAATAAGAGCCCACATGTGCTTAGTTGAAAAATAGGATAATTTATTAGTTTTGTCTGGACATGGATCATTTACACACGAAAAAGATAAGTCTTGACAGCTAAATCTTAACCAAACATTGCATGTTTTACTGCAATCATTAAGTTTGCCTCTGTGTTCAGGAACTGGTGTAATAATATATGTAAATCAGTGATGTGTACTGAATACAATGACAGTTGAACTATATTATATATGTTATAATCAGGCATAAAATTTGGTTAGTATGTCGTGGCTGGCAAGTGCCCCTTGTAGACCAGGTGGAAGAAATGATTTTATTCTTGGTTTGATGAATATTTCTGACTAGATGTTTCGGCACAGCAGATGTTTAGCTTTGAAGGGGTAGGTGGGAGACAGTTGGTAATAAGGAGAATGTTATCAAAGAATTTGTTTATATAAGTATATATGTAGCTAGATAAGGTAAGTATTACTTATGTACATATATATGTATGATTGAGCAATTAGTCTGTGTCCAAAGCAGCAAATTGTGAGGATAGGAAAGTTTGCTATGCGTTTTAATAGAAATCATTGTTTTTGGAAAATTTTGGAAATTTTCATGAATCAGCCACATTTTGTGATCAGACTGAACCGGGTTCCATTGAAATAAAACTTGAGATTAAATATTAAGCAACTTAAATTAAAAAAATAGTTTTATGAAAAGAAATGCAACTAAAATCATTTTCCCAGTGGAAAATTAAATGTTCAATGAAATAAGGCATATGGTTTGAACCCTAACTTTCACCACAGTAGCAAATATGTCCACTCTAGTCAGAATTGCGGAGGCCCTGTCCACTAGTGATTTAATTTCAACTTCCAGTGTTAACTGAATGCCAACTATTACTTTGAAGGTGTGGCCACAAAACGATTAGACTCCCTGGCATTTCACTCTGATTCAATGGAAAATGTTGTCTCACAGGATGTAGACACAGGAATTCAAGCTGAAATGACAGTTTTGGATCAGTTACAATCTCTGATGTACCTTTTAACTCAGGTATGTACCTGCGAGAAATACTGATCAGGTGTTGTTCGGACCGAGTTGGGTCAAGTCTGTAAGACCCCGGTGTGAACATAGCCATAGCCACATTGGAATTTAAGCTGAGCTATCAGGCTGGGGATCAGTTTCGGTCATGGATCATCTTTTAAAGTCAGGAATTTGGTCATTGACTTTGCTAAGGGTGGGAAAATGTGGATGAAGGTATGGTCTGGATTAGGATCATTTAAGTGTGACAGAAAGAAGAGGTTCAATTGAGAGCAGTGGAAGAGGTGGACAGAGGACATTTACTGGACACTGGTGACAGTGCTAGATTTGAACATTACTTCATCAAAAGGCAGCCTGACCACTGATAAGACATCAAATGGACAGACCTCTTGCACCTAGGATTAAAGCACTGGATGATAGTTGATCAGTTTCTGAATTCTGTCAAGGAATATTTTAGTGGAAGGATTTACTGTAACAGTGAAAATCCAACAGATGGTCAGTCAGGTTGACCAGAGGGAGGGGCAGCGATGTGAAGTACCTGCCCACAAGGATTAACTGACCATTACAAGGATTAACTGGTCATCTCAGGGATTATCACCTGACCAGATCAAGGTTTAACTGGTCATTGGCTGGATTAATTGACCTCCACAGTGACCATAACAAGGATTAAATGATCACTACATAGGTGTAGTTTGTAAGCATCAGTTGTTTAAAGTGACCACAGCAGAGCTGGAAAAAGGAATTGCTGAAAAGTGTGAACATGCTGACCATTCAGTGATAACTGATCTGATTTGCTTCCGTTCAGGATTTGGTGACCACGGAATGCTCAGAGTCCATTCATAAGGGACGGATGTCCTGACAATTCGGTTAAGTTAAACTGGCCATTATATTGGAGAACATGACATACAGTTATTTGAAAAAGGAGTGTTCTTTTGGTATGGTAACTTACAGTTTTTCTTACCTTTCAGTAAAAAAAATTGATCTTTGACTTTTTCGATAGAAGGGAAATATAGATCAAAGTGTATGTTGTTACAGTTAAGTTCATTTAAAAGTGACAGAAAAGGTTCACTTTACTTTCCCTAGGGTACAATTTGATAATTTTTTTGTGAATGGGATATTATTTTCAATGAACTTAATGTGACTGAAAAAATTATGTATTATGGTATCCTGTTAGGGCACCCTGTGTTTCAGATCACTGATTATTCTTATGATTTTGTATACTGTGCCATGGACAACTCTTGGACACCCAAGGTATTGCTAATGACCACCTCTTAAACTGATACAGCAGTGGACTGTTGATGGGTAGAACACCTGCCTAGAGTGGTATCAGTACTGACACAGGAGAGGTTTTCCTTCATCCCAGCCTTTCTCAGGTGTCGGGTTTAGGCATCCATTGTTTTCTTAAGAAATTGGTCTTCTCAAAGCAAGCAGTGGGTGTCTTGGGGAGATAGAAGCCAGCAAGCAGGCAGAAATGCAACCAGTTCTGAAGTGTTCTGTTTGATATCATCAGTTGTAATGAGGAGACTGTCAGCAGCCCAGCAGGATGCCACCTGAGTGAGCAAAGCACAGCTATTAAGAGAAGCCCTGCTGATGGACTGAGACTGGCTGATCATGATGATTAAATGCAGTCGGACTGATTTTGGCAGAAAGAGATACAGAATCAATTCATTCCATACTGAACTATTCATATTTATTTTAGGAGAGATAGTAAAAAAAAAAAAAGGAATTAAACTCCTCTTGATCTATATCTGAACATCATTAGTGGTAGTTGTGGTCTAGGATAATAGTTGACACTGGTGCATTACAACTAACAACCACTGAAAATAAAGGAGAGGTCGTGATATTATCAGAGATGACATGGAATTTGGTAAAACAACACATCAAGACGACTATCCTTTGTCTCAAATGTATCACTGTATTCCACAGGAGCTCAAAATTGATAATGCCCATGCTTGGCTTGTAAGCTTTCTGCTACAGGACCCTTAATATGTATTTGTCAATAAAGATAATTCAGATGTGCTTTGAATTCAAGGGGGCAAACTTGTATCTCATTCTGAGGTTGTTATCTAACAGAAAACTTTATAGGCCATGCCTATCCCTGGCCTTGGTAACATTTTGTTTCAAGGAGGACAGTTGGGCGTACTCAGAATTGTACATTCTTGTTTGGAGGCACTTTTGATTGCAATAACAATTTTAGTGATAATTTTAACACAGACCATTAAGTGTGTATTTTTAGCCAGGTAGAGACTTGCTAGATGTTATCACCACTATGTTAGGGACATGGCGATACTCAGTGACCAGTTTACTTCAGGCCAGAGCTAGTGGCCTTGTGGAAAAATGATGGACCCGACCATGTGGCGACATTTGAATGCATTTCACCTCTCATTTACTGGACAAATGGCATCTTCTTAAACCAAGTCTGTATCATCCTGGACCTAAGGAAAGAGGAGTGTATGTGGTCACTGTTTCTTTTAATTTGATAACCATCATTATCAGATGAAAAATTTGACCACTGAAAGAAAATGGAGTTTATTCTTTTTTTTTTTTTTTTTTTTTTTTTTTTTTTTGATTCACTGTGTTTTGAAAAATCTTGTTTCATTAGAGAAGAACATCACCAAAAGTTGTATTGAAGATATTACTAACAGGCTGCTCTGTCACTGTATTGACAGAGAAAATGAAGACCAGCTCTCAAGGGAAACAAGGGTTTGAAAATACTAAACTAATTTCACTTGAATAACCTGTCAACACACCATATCATAAGTCAAACAGATTATGTGCTGTGTAAACATTTGTTGTGAAGTGTTCAAGTTGATTGTTCCGGCAGAGCATACCATAGGATGTGCACTTGACAGATAACATGGTAAGGTGTGTGTGTGAAAAGGGATTTTATTTTTGTGAGGCAGACATGCAAAGATTCCAGGTTAGAGATTGTTGTAAACCATCGTGTGAATTGAATTTTGGACTCTTGCTATTGATTAACTACTTTGGCTAATTATTGTGTTCTTCTGAAATTTCATTTTGCTTTTCTAAATTAAATCTTAGTTTGTTGAAGAAAAACTGAACTCTCTTCATATATTTATGGAAACAATTATGAAAGTAAGTTTGATACCAAAGGAATTTTTATGAAATTGTCAAACTGTCTTTTTCTATGATCACCAAAAAAAAAAATGACCATTTGAGAGAGATATGATACTAGTATCAGTAAGGTGTTTGAAATTTGAGTAATTTTCATACAAGGAGGAAATGGTCAAGGGAAAAAATACGCAGTGTATTGGATAGGGAAATACTTTTGCCAGCTATGATTGACAAGAACAGGGCTTAAACTGTGTTGAAGGAAATAGCAAGGAAATTATCATTTGCACCATGTTCACAAGACCGCAGGAACTTCATAAGTACAAGGAAAAGGATACTTCTGTGTTATACAATACAACTACAAGGAAGAGTTTTAGTGCTTGATGTTTGTATATCCAAAGGAACTAAATCTGAAAGAACAAAGTGTCATTTTATTTCTACAAATTGACAGAGTGGTGCTAACTCTATGAAAACACTAGGACTTATTTTTTTGGCATCAGCTCCATTTGCCTTCCTTTGTTGTTGTTGGAATGAATTCTGCTCAGGTATGTCAATGATGTAACAAGTCTAGACCACAGCAACCTTGGGACATCAGCCAAGAAAAATCTTTACCAACAGAGCCAGTGTTTCCACTTCTCTTGGAAATTTAGACTCATACCCCACATTTAATTTGCGTATTGGTCACTTTTGTTTTCTGTTTCAAATCAATTGGAAAGATAGAGTCAACAGGTCCAGGCATTGTGAAAACTGAAATCATGGCAACCTGGGATGATTAACACTGTCATTGGTGATCTATTTTATGAAGAATCATAGAGCTAATGGATGATGAAAGATGGAGGAAATATTCCAGACAGGTTATGTGTTCATCACCCCTCTTTTATGCAAAGTTTATGTATTAAAATTGTGCTCCTTCATGATAAAGTTAATCATCAAATGTGTTCAATCCAACAGTGAATGCATGCATTATATTGCTACTCTAATGCTGGCATATGGAGACTGAAAATCACCAGTTTGCCAGGTAAAAGAAATTAAAACAATTTTATATAAAAAAAAATGTGGTGTTTCTTCTGGAATGAAGATTAGAGTGGAGACACTGATGGTGCTGGTGCATTTTGCCCCATTTAACTCCCAGGTGGTCGTGAAACTAGGATTGGACGTAATGAGAAATGGCAGGAAAGGAGCTCCCGTGTCTTAACAACACACACAGATGACTTCATGTCATGCAAGGGACCTTCGTGGTTTTATTGGTGACAGAGGGTTGGCACTTGGCACTGGTGCAGTTTTAATGGAAAAAAAAAATGAAGGATAAATTGAAATAAAATGTGTCAGTTGAGGACCAGAGTTGTTTCAGTTTAATTCAACGACAGAGGGTAGGAAGAAGAGGACAGAAAGAGAGGAGAGGGAGAGAGAGAGATTCAAAATCAGTCCAGTGTCATGCAATATCTCAATCTATAGCATTTACTGCCCATAAACATGCTTTTCCCCCCTGGGCCTTCAAATCCACATGTTTCAAATGCCTGCACACAATAAAACAATGAAATGAAGATAGGACGTCAAAATTACCTGTAGCAGATCATTTTCAGATATCGTCAGTGATCCAGGACAGAGAGCAGTCTGCTGACAGAAAGGGTTCACTATGTTAAAAGGAGAACTGTTTACTGATGTTTAACTTGTGACACTTAACCCAAGTCAGGAATTCCTTCCTCGATGTTGATGTCAGAGTATTTGTACTGCGATAGAGTCAAGTGGATTCTCTCTCTTTCTCTCTCAAAATTTATATTATATCTACATAGTCAAGTATCTTAATGGGGGATATTAATATCATGACTTATTCATGATGTTCTGGCAGTTAAGGATCATACATAACTAAAGCAGATTTCATTCAGGTATCCCTTTTCAACAAGGACAGCTCACCTGTGCAGGAATGCAGGATAAATGTGACAGTGACAAATATCTTTGTATGTATTTTTGAAAAGGCATCATTTGAAATTGAGGCCTATGCCGTTTGGACTGAGATAGACAAATCTGCCTCAGCCATTTTAATGGAAGTCTTTTATGGGCCGGCGTTGGGAATTTTATGGCATCAGGATGATGCAACCAGACAAGGAAAACACATGAAGGTATTTCTAATTATTTAGAACAAATAGTCTTGGACGTATCGTTTTCAACTAAAAATAGAACAGCATCCAGGCAAGTGCAGTGACAGAATTCCACTAGTAGGTAAAATACAATAAAGAGTGACAACTACTCCGGCCGCATGACAGGCGTGATCTGCCCCTGGTACAAAAATAAAAAGTTTGGAGTAGAAATATTTTCAAGCTGGAAGAATTCAAGAATTCATTATGCAGGAGCAAAGACCAAATTAATGAGCGACAAACATCTGAAGATCGTGATCTAGCCTTGCCATGGAGCATTTTTGAAACGTGTATGGAATTCAAGATCCAGGAGCAAAAACAAAAGAAACTGAGCTGAAACAAGTGCTTAGCAGATGGAGAGCTGAGTGTTATTCTGACCCCTAGCAGAGAGGTATACTGGAAGTTTAACAGATTCACGGTGATCCCAATTTGGAACAGGTTTTTAACAGCATTAGGGCTCTGGGAAAATTTTACAGGGGATTCAGTAACAACAGAAAAGGCTAGGTGGTTGCTTTGTTGCAGTGGTTGGTTTTTGTGGTCAGTTATAATTGTGGTCATATACGGTAATGCCTGATGGTTTAGAGTAGGGAGTTGAGCCTTTACGTATGACAGAAATACATCCCAGGTAAAGTCTGTTGAAATTTGTTTGTATGTTGTATCTCATTGGAATATTGTTTTTACATAATTGATACGTGGATTAGGAAATATCAATTAATGAAAATCTTGACATTTTCAGAAAGAATGGAGGAAATATAGGATTTACCACCATATTAACTTGAAGTGATTGCATTGCAAGCTAACTGTAGATGTTGTCATTGAAAACTTTACAGAAGAGAAACAACTTTGAATTCTTTAGACATATCTTTCTTTTGATTTAGAAGAAAGACACATGCCTGAAAAATAATGTTTAACTGTTTATAGCTAAAACCAGTGAACAAAATAACAGTATCTATATCAGTATCCTTTCAAGAAATTGCTGATGGTGTTGATTTTAACTAATGCTGGATTGTGAAGAATTGCAATAAGTGAATAGACAGATAAAACCAGAGGAAGAAATATTCAATTTAAAAACAATGTATCTGGTACAAAACGGTTACTCGCACACCATGGACTATGGCGACAGCACCTCCCAGGACAGGTACTCCTTTGACGACATGGTGAACAGATACACTAATTGCTGTGACCCCTATACAGGGTACACAGACTATGACAGTTACAACTCTTATCAGCCCTGGGGGGAGTCTTACCAGCCCTGGGGAGATACGTACCATCCCTGGGGCTCCTCTCCCTGGGGATATGATACCAAGTATGTGTACAGTATGTGGGACTCGGAAGAGGAGGGGGAGATAGAAGGTAAGGGAAATAAAACGATTTAATAAAATTAACATATTTTATTCAGGTTTATCCTGTCTTTT